CCCCAAAACCCCAAAACCCCAAAACCCCAAAACCCCGCGATTAACGAATAATCAAGATAGTGAAATAATGATAATTGCTATAAATTAAATTTGAAGGATTATAATAATTAGAAATAAAAAGGCGACGAATCAGAAATTCAGCAGTCTTTAATAAAATCTGACATCATGAAAGTTTAAGTAACAATCCCTTCTAACACTTCAAAGCAAACAAAATAACCTATAAATGCTATTGCCACTCCAGCTGTAAACATATCATGAAAAATTATTTATATATTATAGTCAAAGCGCTCATCAGCTGTTAAGCATTCATCACCCAAAAGACAAGTCAGCAGCTTGTCAAGTAACCATGGCTCTCTTGGTACCTAGCACTCATCTCCTTACAAATAGCAGACACACTAGTCGAGAACAACTAACTCAAGCCAAAACACTAACTCACAACACCAGATTGTGGATAAATAAAGCTTCTCTACAAATAATACCAGTTTTTAGGATAAGGAGATTTAAATACTCAAAGAATAAGTAGAATAACTTAAGACTACACTTAAAGACGCTTAGGATAAGTAAGCCATTCATAAAATCTAATTATTCCTATAGAGAAGTGCAATAGAAGCTAGTCTATGATCAATTAATTCAAAGTCTGCATCAAAATCAAGAGAATAGTAGCATATCTGAGAATTATAACAGCGTCGATATGATAGATATTAATTTGCTTCACGATTTGAATGCAAGCAATTTAAATGAATTAAGACTATAAAAAGAGAACGAATTAAAAACAAAGATAAGAACTCTTGAGTTTCAACTAGAGGAAGCAAATAAAAATCTGTCTTAAACATAGAATAACTACAAACTATTACAAAAAGAGTATGATTTCAGCTAGAAAGATCATCAAACTATAATGAATCATTTGAGATTAGATAACTAAAGACTGAAAGAATCCCTCTAAAATGAAAAGGACAGATCTACGAACGAACTATCAATAGCAATTGAAGACAGAATGGAAAGAGAAAATCAGAATATTAGAGATTTGCAGACAAAGTTTGAATTCCAGATCGAGGAAATGAGGCACCTTAATCTAAGGGAAAAAGCCAGCTTAGAAGAAGAGTGCTAAAGACTTAAGAGTGAACTAAAGTTCCTAAGACTAGAGCACAGCGAGCTTATTTCAAATACAAATGTTGAGAAATAGATTACTTTTTTACATGAGGAGTATCTTTCGGAGATTCAGGCCTTAAATCAGCAGCTTGCACTTAAATAATAAGAAACTTGCCTTTTATTGGAGTCAATGGACAGAGAAAAAATGTAACTCATAGAGAGGATCAAGCAGATGGAGAGTGAGCTAGAAAAAACCAAAGATTCCCAGTCAAAGATAAAATAAGAGAATTAGAAGAAGAATGCTGAAATGAAGGAGAAGCTCGAAAAAGCCTTCCATTAGTTAACTGCAAACGATGAAGCTGCCAATGAACTGCACACTCTGAGATCATAAATTAAAGAAATGTAGTCAAAGATAGAAGTAAAACAGACTCCAACAATGAATAAAAATGAAAAGTTTGAAAGTTTTTCAATTAATCCTGATGACATTCAAATCAAAATTATCAGCGATGAGTAAGTTCAAAATATCAAGAGGGTCGAAACTATTGCTAAAGATCTTCAGAGTTAGATAGGCCTCTTAATGAGTGAAAACTAAAAAATTAGAAAAGAGCTATAACAGACCCTGACTTAAGCCAGAAGTATGTCGCCACAAGCATCAGTGAGAAAGATAGACACGTACCATTTAGAGGATAAACTAGAGAAAACTCAAGTAACCCATAAGAAGAGACAAAGAAATAAATAAGGGTTTGCAAGTCCACAAATCCAGTCAAGAAAGTAGAATTTGATCAACTAGGATCACTAGCAGTCTACAAAGCCAAGAAAGGTAAAAGGATTCTTAGAATCTCAAAGAATAAACAAAAACCTACAGCTGAATGAGCCATCATCAAACAACACTGTCATTTAGGATTATAACTTGCACACTAATAAGTCAAACCAAAACAGTCCTTCAAACCAGCCAATGACAATGAGTTAACTTAACTCTGGTGGAGTCAGCGCAAGACTGTTTGATCATTGTGCAGGCAGTAAGGTTAGTGGAAAGAAACTCTATTTCTAGAAGAATATGCAGGCAATGGGTAATGATATGAGTGCTTTCACACTTAACACAACTAATATGACCACTGATTACACAGCTTTAGGATAAAGTGGAGTATTGGGAAATATGAGTCATAGACAAATTAGCAAAAAAGATATGAGTTAGAGTTTATCCAGCAATTAATTGCTAATTGCTTCTCCAATGAATAGCTAAACTATTGTCTTCTAAAAAATGCAAAGTCACATTGATAGTATTAAATGTGCCAACTGCTTATAAGAATATCCATTTGAAGAGTTTATGAATCACCCATAGTATTGCATGATTTAGCCTCCAGGAGGTTTGGAGATGAGCAAATAAAAGATGACAGGTCATGAACAATTGTAAAGTATTTCTCCAATCAAGAGCAGAAACAAATCCTAAGGCTTAGCTAATTAAAATAGCGATCCTAAGAATAAATAAAAGAAGTCCATGGTATTTGAAAGAATTTAACAGCCAAGAGAATACGACTCCTACTTAGACCTCAATGAGGATTACTCTACTGACCATGGTGGTTATAGATCAAACTACGGTGGAAATATCGTGGGAGGATAGCTAGGCAACAATATGATTGCATAAAGACCAAGTTTCCTCTCGTCAGTCGACTATAACAGCTTTATGGACAAGAGTGTGCCCTTTATGAGAAAACAAGAATCCTCTAACTCCCCAGACATTCATGATAAGTAGTAAAATGTAGTCTATGGCAAGCAACTAAAACACATTAAGCAGCTCGAAGAGAGAGCTAAATTCTTTGAAAATATTTTTAGGCAAGCATAGGAAAATGTTCATAAGCTGAACGGTGACCTCAGGAAGAAGGATCTTGAAAATGAAAAGCTAATTTTAGATCTGAAGTAAACAAAGATCCATATTGCTCTCCTTGAAGAAACTTCAGCCTAGAAAGAAATAATTCTAAAAAGTGAGATAAACAACTTGAGATAGTAATAAAAATAAAAGGGTATTCAACCTGAAATTACAGTTAAATTAAATCAGACCAATGTATCTTGCTTTAATATAGGAGTATCTTCAATAGCCAATAATCATGAGATAAAGATCGAGCCTTAGAGTTTACTATAAAAGGCCACTCAAGACTAAAAGATTTAGGTGCAGGGAACAACATTGAAAACTCCTCAAGTATTCAAGTAAAAGCTTAATGACTTTACAAAGGACCCAATTTACTAAGAAACAGATCCCTCTTTCGGTGATTTAAAAGCAGGTCTTAAGAATTACAAGCAAGATGACTTTAGAGCTCCACCAAAGAGATTGAGATCTATGGATAAGGACTAGTGTATCTCAACAGCTACTTAGAGTCTTAATGGATACCCAATACATCATGGATATAGTTAATCATTCCATCATCAGGGTGTTGATAATCCCCAGATATCTTAAGATGTTCATCCTGATGGCTTGCCTCATTTTGGACCTTCAATTTCTAAATAGATCAGTATTGATTCAGGCAGGAAACATCCTCAGATGCCTTATGCTTCGAAATTGTAAAGAGGTCTTGGATCTCCTAAAATGCTCACTACTAGATAATCCCCACAAAATCAGATTTCAATGAGATGAAATGAAAATTAACTAACTATATTATGATGATGTTTTATACTTAATTATATTAAGTTATAGTCTTAAAAGTATTAACTACTAACTATTCAGTTTATATCAGAAAATTAGCTCATTGCATTCCATCAGTCTGTTTTTTCTTTTCCTCCTCTTTGAACACGTCTTCGATATCAATATCAGTTACCAACTGTGAAGCTAACTTCTTTGCTTTATTCTTCTACTTTTTATCAAAAAGTGTGAAATCTTTAAGCATGATGAGTGCTTGCGTTCTCGTTTCTTTATTCTTTAGTGCCTGCATGTGGCTTTCCACTTTACACCTGTCAACCATTGCTTTTTCTTAGCGCATCTACTGGATCTTCTAGGAATATAGTTGCTCCTTCTCTAAAATTTAAATCTTTTTAAATTCTAGTTTCTTTTTCTCTCTTTCCATATTTTATTAGAAATTAGTATCCTTTAGAATGTGTATTTCCTTCTTTACTAGGTAATCCTCTGTAGGTTTTTTCTTCTAGGAATCACCTCCAGGACTAAGAAGATTTTTAAAACCACGCTGCTCAGTCATAGATTAATTTCGCTTCATTTATTTAATTCCAGTAGATTTTTACTCGACTAATCTTAAGAACTGCTGCTTTTATTTCATTACTTCTCCCGCGTTTTGCTATGCTTTATCTCTTTTTAATTTCTCATGAATCACTTTTTACTTATGTGCTCTTTGCATTTCCTTAAGTTAAGCTTATCTTTTCTCTTCCAGCTTAGTCATTTTTAAGACTAGCTTTTCATACTTTTTATCATCTTCATCGTGCGTCACCTTTTTTACTTATTCCTTTTTCAATTCAACTATGAGATATTAGATCTAAAAAAGTCTTACACATTAGAGACTGTGTTTTAAGGTAGGCAGTCCTTTCATCCTTCTTTTCAATAAAGGCTTAGTTACATTTGACTATCTTGCTATTAATCTCATTAAGCTAAGCTAAACATGTGTCTATTTCCTTTTAATTCAATTCCTCTCTTTTCTTCGAATGCATTTGCTTTAATTGAATCTCTTTGTCTAATTTTTATTTATTGAGCTTGCTAAGTTCTTTTTCCTTCATTTCATCAAGTTCTAGTTTCTTGAGTCTTTCTTTGTTGAAATTTTCCCTTTCAACTTGATTTTGTCTATCTATGTATTATTGCTCACTAACTACTCTCTGTAGTTTAACTTATCTTTTTTACTCTTTATGCTACGACTTTTCTCTTAGCTCCTTGAATTCTTCTTTTTCAAGCGATTCAATCTTTTTTAATTTCTCATCAATCTTAGCCATTTTCTATTCGTTCTCTTTTTATTTAAGCAAAAAATTCTTCAGATCTATCTGAGTCTTAACTTTATTTTCATTCATTTTCTGATATTCATTTGCAATTTTAAAATAAACTTAGGGCGTATAGTTCATTTCCATTCTTGATTCATTTGTAGGAGATTGAGAAAATACAACCTTCCCCTCTTTTCTATAATAAACTTTATTATCATTTAAACTAACCTTCCAATACTTGGCAAAATGCCTTGCGGCTTTCGATCTAGAGATTGATTTGAGAAGTTATTCATTAGAGTTTTACCCATTCCATTATGGTCATTATTAAACCCAATAATTGACTTATTTTGTCTCATTCCAATCAGACTGAATGCTGGATTTTGGCCTTATGGACTAATGAGAGAGCCAGCCAGTATTTATGAGGCACTTTAGGGTTTGTTAAGCAAAGATTTCCTTTCATCAAAGACACTCTTGATTGTTGCAGAATATCTGCTCATGTAGTTTTAATATCTTATTTCAGCGATCTTTTAATTCTCACAGTTTTTAACTATCTCATGCTTTGATCTATATTTAGTCAGCAAATAAATTCAAACTTTTTAACAACATCTTAGGCATTTATTCCTAATCTTCTGCATGCTTCTCTGGTTGTCGGTGAATCAGGATCAAGTTTTTACTAAGAGAGATGAATAAATATCAAATACCATAGGTGTTTTAAGTGAGAGTTATCTTTCCATATTATAAGAAAATTATTTTATCAAATTTAGTCGAAAGTTTCCAAAAATTTAATGCTAATTCATTGAGGGGTTTTGGGGTTTTGGGGTTTTGGGGTTTTGGGGTTTTGGGGTTTTG